CCCACCCTGCTGCTAGCCTTAACTCCGAGGGCAGCCCTTTGCCTGCTGACATCTCTGATTTTTTTTCTCCTGCCGTCTCATTTCTCCCCAGTAATTCAGCATGTTTTTTGCTCTGCTGACGTACGGAACAACCACAGCGGAGTGGTCGCGCAGTAGCTCGGTACCTTGGGACCAGGAATAAGCAATCCCAGAAAGCTGCCAGGATGGAAAGAGCTGTCTTAAATGCTCCATCCAACCATTTCTTGTGTCGTACAGAGGAGGTTTGCGGTGAGCTTGTGTATACAGTTACACACTCATCTGTCTTGCATGCAGGCAGTAAAATATATATAGCTGGAAATATAAGCTAACTGCTTTATTATGGGCGTTCTGAGTATAATCACAAAGGAGCCTGGGCTAAACAAAGCTGGTGGTTAAACGTATTTGAAGGCTCTGCGTGCCACTCTTTTAAAAATTTATTTCATAACCTCCTTTACTAGTGCATCTCCTAAAGGTGTGCGTGTTAAAAATTGGGGGCAGGTAGCTGGGACTCGTGGCCTAAAAGCCATTAATCAGAAGTTGCATTGCACCAAAGAGGACAGGGGCGAGCAGAGCTGGAAATAATGGTATAGAAACATTTAGAAAGACATGAAAAATTAAAGGCGGCTTTAAAATACCTACTTGATGCAGCCCTGTGTGCTCTTTGCTTTGCCGAGTCAGTTATTGTGTCGTAATTTTTAAAGCAGTTCAGTTAGTGCTTCTCAGAGCTGGAGTGCTGTATATTTTCCTTGGGGAGAACATTAAATGAATACTGGCTTTCCTTTTCCTATTGATTGTGGAGACGATATTAAATTAAAATAAAGCAAGAAAACAACTTTTGATTTCTTCTGTGAGGAATCTAATAAATTTTGTTCAATACGTTTTCATCTCATTTTCTTTCCTTCTGCATCATCGCTGTAATAAGGCCCCAAGCCCCAGCAGAGACAGGGTCCCATCATGTGAAGATCTGTACAAGTAGAAAGTAAAAGGATATTTTCTTTCTCTCCCTGACATTTTCATGTCTCCAGCAGGAAGCCCATGAAGATTAGCAGCACTCTTGCTGTTATTTTTGATTTAAGGTGAAGAGTCAAGATAGATGTGGCAGGAGGGGAGCAGGGTCGGTGGGAGGACCAGGGATTTACAGGAGGTCTCTTAGAGTGTCCAGGAGGAAAACCAGAGCAGGATGCCAGACCCTTTGGTGCTGCCACCTCTCCCGAGCTCATCCCTGGTTGCTGGACCCGGGCTTTGTCTTGTACCTCAGGGGATGTGCGACATGGGGACCATCACGGGGACAGCAGCATTTGCTTTACCGAAGGAGCTTGTTTGTGGTCATTCGGGGGATGAAGAAGAGCCAACATAAATCCTAACAGCTCAAAAACAAATAAGGTATAAACCAACTCAAGTATTTTTAAACCCGGTGGGTTCTGAGCACTGGGAATTTTCAAGCACGTTTCCCCTGGCACAAATTGCCCCAGATTCAGCTACTTGCTTATCTTTCACTATGTCCAAAAAAGGAGCAAACCACATTAATTTTCCTGCACCTTTCTCATCTCCATTTCCCCTTGAAACAGAAAGGACAAGTTTTCTTGCCGGAGGTCGGCACTTATCAAAGTTTATGAGATCAAAGTGGAAGATAGAGTAGAGCAGGGCTGGCTGCATCTTTTCGCATCCGAAGCTATTAAAACTTCCTTGATAGAAACGGTATTTATCTGAAATGAAATTATTCTGAAAGTGGCCATAACTTTCTTTCAGAACAACAAAATATACCACAGTAAGCAAGATGCAGTCTTACCAAGCAGAAGTTAAACCCAAAAAAAAAAAGAGAAAGAAGACCTAAATATACAGTTGTCTCCATCTGCCTGAAATAACCAGGAAGTCTTTCAATAATTGGCTGGATGGAAAAGCTTACCCAAAGCTACAGCTTTCTGTAGTCTGAAAGTGGTCTGATTTATTTCAGGCTTGTTTTTTATGTATAAACCTGATGTTGAAAATTTTGGCCCGAGTAAAAGAAGGGTTTTTTTGCTGAATTTGATAGTCTGTGCGTGTTGGTGGTAGCTCAGGGGCCACAGATGAAGCCTTTGCTGTATGAAGCCACACAGGACTATGTTTGTCATGGTTGTTGACTTAAGGACTATTAGTTAAGGACTGTTAAGGACTACTGCAGCAGTTCGTGGGACTCGGGACTTATGTGGGGGAATTAACCATCAGTAAAGACCAGAAGAACCTCTTGGTGCCCCAAGAGGCCATCATCCAGATCCCATCCCTAGGTGATGAGCAAGGGACTTCCCAACACCATGGCATGCACGTACAGCCATTGGCTACTAAACTGTGTGACGAGGAGGTAGAAACCTGTGTAGAAACACGGTTGAGAGAATTATAGGGAAAATAGGCTTGGTGTGGTCAAGAAGTGAGCTGGAATTGGTTTAACACCCCTAGCCAGGCTGGTGAGGAGGCAAAGTGGGATCATCAAAGTCAAGCAGGCAACGGGGAGGACCTTGGCGTGATGAATATACTGGAAAAGAAATGCTTATCTTCTAATGAAGCAGAGAGTAGGCAGGGATATTTCTGATTTAAGATCTTCATCATTAATGTTCTGCTTGCAATCACTGGATCTGCAAATAACTTTCAGAGGAGCTTCTTGATTGCTAAAAGGCTGTATATATTCCTGAGTACAATGACAACACAGTTTTATGTAGCCTAAAAAAAAAAAATCAAATCTGTTAAACTGCTGCTTATCCAACATTAACTACAGCAATTTTTAATTAACCTGATTTAGAAGCCAAATATATCACTGATGAAAGTGAGAGGGTAGAACATAGAGTCATTTATTCCAGTACAGTGGTCATGATTGTTGAATTAGATGTATTCAAATGAACCTCAAAATTTTGCCGCAGTGGTCGGCTGTGTGCTGGGTGCCAGGTTTCAGAAATCTGCATTTAGTCAAAACGCAGTGAGCTTTGGGGCACGGGAGGGAGAGATTGCAATGTGTTTGTCTTGCTGCTCAGAAATGGGGAGGAAAGACCCACACTGGCTTTTATTTAATAAAACAAAAACAAAGATGGGGTGTGAATTGACTGCTAATTACCGCTTTCCAGCCTTGCTGGCAACCAGCAGACAGCGTCAGTGGAGTTTGGCATGGAAAGACTCTCCAAGGGTCATTTTATCTGCCGTTGGGTTGGCTCTGCTCTGGGACAACGGCCAACGAGATGCAGAGATAAATGAGGCAGCTTCACCACAGCAAAACCAAACTCTCCACCAGCAAAGGAAGATTAACAGGTCCCATTCAGTCTGTCAGAGGGATTTACACAGGAGCATGTAAGGAGGGTTGGAGTTACTTGAGTGTTATCGTTTTCAATTGGGAAGACTTTCCAAGAAATGGAAGTCTTCCCAGTTTTGGGGGTGTTGACTGATAGCTGGCTGAATATGAGCCAGAGTGTGCCCAGGAGGCCAAGGAGGGCAACGGCATCCTGGCTGGTGTCAGCACTGGCGTGGCCAGCAGGGCCAGGGAAGGGATCTGAGCCCTGGGCTGGGCACTGGGGAGGCCGCCCCTCGATTCCTGGGTTCAGTTCTGGGCCCCTCACCCCAAAAAGGCCATTGAATGACTCGAGCGTGGGCAGAGAAGGGCAACGGAGCTGGGGCAGGGTCTGGAGCACAGGTCTGCTGGGGAGCGGCTGGGGGAACTGGGGGGGTTCAGTCTGGAGAAGAGGAGGCTGAGGGGAGACCTCCTGGCCCTCGGCAACTCCCTGCCAGGAGGGGGCAGAGAGGGGGGATGAGTCTCTGGAGCCAAGGCCCCAGCGCCAGGCCCCGAGGGAATGGCCTCAAGCTGCCCAGGGCAGGGTCAGGCTGGCTCTGAGGAAGGATTTCTGTGCAGAAGGGGCTGTTGGGCGTTGGAATGGGCTGCCCAGGGCAGGGGGGAGTCCCCGGGATCCCTGGAGGGGTTGAAGAGTCGGGCTGAGCCAGCGCTGAGGGATCTGGGGGAGTTGGGAAGGGTCAGGGGGAGGGTCAGGGTTGGCCTGGAGGAGCTTCAAGGGATTTTCCGACTGAGATGATTCTAGGATTCTGTGAAATGGAAGTAGGGCAGTAAACAAAAGCAAAATGGGCTGACCAAGGTGTGGAGGTTGTCCTCTGTGGTCTTCATGGAGGACAAGAACTTCTGATGACTTAAGAGTTTGGTGCATGACATCTGCACTGTGTGTGGGTGCACGCAGGGACTTGGGTCTGCAGCATACAGTGATTTCCAGGCCTCGACGTAGCTGGCTGCTTAGATGATTTCCCCTGAACTCTCTGTGACCGCTCCGAGTGAAGATGATGAGAGCTGAAGATGCTCTGCAGCCTTTTCTAAAGTACCTATTAAAACCTCATGCGGCTTCAAAGGGTACGAGCTGCCGTGCGTGTTCCTTCCAGGTGGCCTGGCAGGTAACGGCGTCCCTCCCAGGGATGGCAGTTGTGCAGCCATGAGTGAATATGAGGACTGGCATGTTTTCATGCAACGTCTCTACCTTCCCTTCAGCAAGAAGCTCTGGTTAGTGGAAGTGCTGAGCACCGAGGACTGGGGCTGGGTGCTGAGCTCTGCTGTTAGAATGCAAAGTGCTACGATGGCTGCAAGCAGCCAGGAAAAAACCTTTGAAAAACAGCTGTGCTGGTGGGTTTTCACAGCTGAATTCTGCGTTCAGTGTGTGTATTTTCTTAGTAGCTTCCTTCAGAGCACATTGAACATTCCTGTGTTCTGCATTCTGGTTATCGTCCTTGTTTTCTAGAGGAATAAAGATGAAATATTGATGTCATGTGTAAGTCTGTTGAGTACATCCATAGTCCTTCCTATACCCTGCCCAACTGAGAGCACATCTGTGCTTTGCCTCTCAGCTGTGCTGATGGTCTCTTTGCTCCCACAGGCTGTTTATTGCTTTCCAGGGATGCTGTCCTCTTCTTTCTCTCTGTTGACAAAACTGCAATTTATCTTTTTCTTTTTTTTTTTCTCGTTGCAGGTTATCCAACGGGCTATCCCACCGCTGCCCCAGCCTACAACCCAAACATGTATCCAACCAGCAGCCCCGGCTATGCCCCAGGTAGAAAAATCTGTGTATGGAGATGAGAGCGGGCATGTTGAAGCATGCATGGAGGATTTACCTTTTGCTGCTCGGTGTACAAAACCCAGCAGTTTCTGTGTGCTTGTCAGCAAAGACTTTCCAGGAAAGGGGAGTGTGTTAAGCTCTTCCCTTCTTAACTCTGCCATTAACTCACACTCTCCGTTGGGAATATTTGTGTTGCAAAGTACTTTTGAGCCGTGAATTATATTTTAATACTAATTCCAGGAATTTTACAATCCTCATCACTGTGATACCTGTGCACTGATGGTTTTTAATATATACTGAATACTGCTACCTCCTCAAGATTGCCTTCCCTTTCCCCCTGCTTGTCCTTCTCTCCTCCTTCCATGTCATAGATGTAGAAATGTCAGCAACCATGTCGTGTTTGGTGTCTGGATCTCCCATGCTGTATCTTTACTGTCCCCTGCTTTCCTGTGTCACCGATGGACTCTGGGTCTGTCCTAGTGTCTTCTTCTGGCCAGCTCCTGCCCTTCACATCGCCCCAAAATAGCTCTTCCAAAGATGCCGCAAGCTCTTCCTGCCCAAACTCAGGAACTCTCCTGCCTCAGCCTTGGTGCACTGGTTATCTTTGACAGCACCAGCTGCACTTTTATTCAGAAAATCTTGTTTTCCCTTGGCTTTCCCAGTTTGGCCAGTTGTTTTCTACCTCTGCTGCAATGTGTCCACTGGGACATATTTGTCATCTGCCTCTTCCCACCTTCCATGAAAGCTTGGCCAAGCTCTGTCCTTTATTCCCTTCTCCACCACTCCCCATCTATCTCTGGGAAAACTTACTTGGAGGTACAAGGTCTTAATTTTTCAGGGAAATCTTCATTTTCCCCACCAGCCACGTACTCTTTTGCATCCTCCATTGCAGTTCCTCTGAACCGTCCTGCCAGCCAGGCTGATGGGTAATGTGTTCATCCCCTGTAGCTCAGCCCCCACCCTGGGGCTCTGCTCTCTCTGCCATCTCCAACCTTGGCAAGTTCCTCTCCATCCTTCCAGAGAGCTGGGACAAAAGTAATTTTCCCAGCCCACTGCTTTAACTGTGTCATCCCCCTCTTTGCCTCCCTCTTGCTCATACTTGTCTTTACAGAAACAACGCCCACTTCATTCCTTCTTGGTGTCCAAAACCTTCCTGCTCTTTTGGCTCAGCCAACGATTTCTGTCCTCTTCACATCTGACCTTTCCAATCAAGCATCTCCCTTGTTCCTCCTGCTCCTCTCACTGGAAGGAGGCTTCCCCTTATCACTCACAAGACCATTTCTTGTTTGAATTCCTCCATTAGCCACGGGGTTTTTTTGACAAAACCCCATGACCAGACCACCAAGCTCCTTCCCTTGCCTGCCATTGAACACCATCTCTCCACATCTTCCTTCTGTCTGGTTTCCACTGTTGTCTCTTGGCCAAACACGTACCCAGCCCACGGCTCTGGTCGTGTTGCTCTGCGATGCAGAGAAATGTCTGGATGGAGGACACACACATGTCCAGGACCTTCCTGCTTGGCCAGAGAGAGCTGGAGAGGAGAAAGGCAGCAAAGCGTGTGGGTGATATGAATACAAACCCATGCCCCGTCCATCACTTTGAGGTTGAACACCTCTTCTTCATGAGGTGGGGAGATGGGGGAATTGCTCATAGCCAAGGGCTGCCAATGGTAGAAGATTCACATAGGTTACATCAGAATGTAAATTAATCTCAGGAGCTGCTGTCAAATGACTCCCAGCAAGAACACTTATTATTCCAGAAAAAAGGAGAACCTTCCACTCTTTTTAAATCAGAGAAATAACTCCAAAGCAAGAGTCATGGAGTAATTCCCACCTGTCCACAAGGAGTTGTCTTCACCACAGCACAGACTAATGAAGTTCTGTGCTTAATGAGGTACCTTTGAGTTGCTCTGCTAAGTCAATCACTTACTTTTTTATGCTTTTAAACCCAAACTTGGAAACCCTTATAGAAGTTTTTTTTTATTTTTTGGAGTTGAAGACTTCTCTGAGGCCCCCACTCAGGAAATAATTTAAGTGAAGTCAAACCTATATTTAAGGACTTTACTGAAAACAGCCCTTTGGAAGGACTGAACGATCTTGAGTTTGTAAAGTGCAGTTAAGTTCTCTGCTTTCAGCCAAATTACCTGGGGGATGGGAACCTCTTGGCATGACAAAGTGTGGTAGAAGCCCAAGGGCTAAGTAGCAGTTTCAAAATGTAGAATCATGGAATCGTATAATCACAGACTGGTTTGGTTGGAAGGGACCTTCAAAGATAATCCAGTTCTAATTCCCCTGCCCCGGGCAGGGCCACCTTCCACTAGCCCAGGTTGCCCAAAGCCCCGTCCAACCTGGCCTTGAACCCTTCCAGGGAGGGGGCAGCCACAGCTTCTCTGGGCAGCCTGTGCCAGGGCCTCACCCCCCTCACAGGGAACAATTTCTGCCTCAGATCTCATCTAAACCTCCCCTCTGTCAGTTTAAACCTGTTCCCCCTTGTCCTATCCCTACACCCCCTGATGACGAGTGTCCCCCCCCTGTTCCCGCAGCCCCTTTCAGCCCTGGGAGGCCGCTCTAAGGTCTCCCCAGAGCCTTCTCCAGCTGAACCCCCCAACTCTCTCAGCCTGTCCTCACAGGGGG